TGATAATCAACACATCTTAATTGCATGTTAGGTCAATCTCAGACTACAGAAGTTGGTAGAAACCTTCAATTTCCTCATCTTTGGCTTTGGTGGTGGATGCGCAAGTTCGAATAATAGTAGTAGTAACTGGCCTTCCTTGTAGGTGTATGGATATTATCCTATCACTGACAGCATTGTACTTCAGGATAAATATCGAAACATTCTTTGTGATGATGAATGCCACGCCATTCCTCTTCAATTTCTCATTCCTGGCATAGTAGATTATATGGTTATCTGATTCAAAATGGCCAAAAACCAATCCATTTCAGCTCACTAATGCCTCAACTAAACTAAAAACTACTGCCATCTAGTTGATTCTGACTCATAGAGATCCCCATAGCATTTCCAAGGCTGTAAATCTTTATGGAAGTAGAATGCCTCATCTTCTTCCATGGGGTGGGTTTGAACCACTGACCTTTTAGTTAACAACTGAATGCCTTAACCACTGCACCAGTAGAGCTGCTTTTTCTCCTAAAAGACTGTCTTAAAGATTGTGAACAATTTTTTAAACATTTAAAAAAAATTTTTCTCTTTCCTTCATACCTCATGGAAAACATTTTCTATTTAAGTTAAATTCGCCAAATAACAAAGTACTCCAATGAAAAGAGATTATCTTGATATAAATACACATTTTTTTTCTCAAATAAATGTGTAATTTTTATGTTTCTTTAATGTAAAAAGAAAGCATTTAAAATTGAAAAGCTGGAACAAAAGAAAAATATATAGAAGAATGTTAATATTCCACTTCCACTCCTAGCCTCCTTTCTTGCCACACCACTTCCTAGCTGTTTCTGTGCAGGTATGAGACTTGGGGGAAATAGACACTATAAGCAGTGAAGGAAAGAAAGATAATCTCACAAATATCATGAATTGACAAAAACCCCAAGACAAAATGCTGCTTCTCCCTGATAAGCAGAGAAAGACACATATATTAAGTATGGCCTTCAGAAATGCCACAGTGAAAAAAAAAAAGACATTCCAGTTCCAGGATGAAGGGGGAGAGGAGGGAATGCTGGTTTTGCTGCCCTGCTTGGGAGTGGGAGGGAGAATTGGGAACCTGAATGGGAAAGCTTGATAGCATATGCCCGTGTACAATATTCTTACACCTCTTGTCCTCAGGACCACCCAAAATGTACCTTGGGTGAGGAAGGGTTCTTAAGAATGCAGAAACTGAGCCACTAAGGGTTTGGCCCCGAGCTTCCAGCCATCCAGGCTCCAGGGCTCTACCAGGCTACTACAACCCTAGCAAAAACCTGAGGAGTTCCAGACCAGTTGCATTCCCTTCATCCCTTGACTAGAAGTCTTTCCTCTTCCATAATAGGAATTAATCGTCATTGGATCCAAAACACAGGAAGAAAGGGACTTGGGCCCACATAGACTTCCAGCATGTGATAGCCATATTTTGGGTCATGTCATGTCACTGATCCTTAGTGCCACTTCCAAATCCTTAGTGGCTCACTTTCTGCATTCTTAAGAACCCCTCCTCAGGGGATCTATGTAGGAGATCCTGGATTGAGAGGGAGAACAATGTGGAACAAAACTCAAAATCATTTGGAGAAAAAGAAAAGGGGAGGACCAGGTTTGCTGGTCTGATAGAGCCCGGTTGAACCACTGAGACTATGGCCC